GATTTCAATCATGTATTTTTAAAAACTAAAGATTATCTTCAAATCTTTTTACTTCCTCCTTTTAAATCTCTGCAGAAGATAATTCGTTTTTAAAGAAATTTTATATTTCTAAAACTTATTTGAAATCTTGATTTAGAAAATTCTGCTTTTATTTTGAAACGTTTTATTTCTTCACAATAAGCCCTTTTTAAAAAAAAGAAATTAATAAATAAATAAAATCTTTTATTAAAAAGAAATATCCTGGATTTCACTGTACCATTGGGTTTTGCCACCAGAAGCAAGCCTATCGTCTCTGCTCGCGCCGATCAAGCACACTGCCGCCTTTAGGAAAGAGAAGAATGACCGAGATCGATCGATCGACCAAACACGGAGATGTTACGTAGCTATCCCGCATATAGAATTTTCCATGATCAAACTTTGACAATGGAACAGGCTGAAAAATTCTCAATTCGCCAATTTCGACGACGATGATGAAATTGAGGCGTGGAGGAGGAGTAGGCTAGAACACAATAATTGGCAAATTTGAGAGCGTCAAACTTTTGTGGTCCAGGATGGTAAAGAAAAGGGATTGAGAAGTACAGGGGAGGAGTGTATGGAGAAGTGTATGAATGAATTATGAAGAAGATGAGAGAAAGAGAAAGGTAGGGAAGGGATGAAAGCCTCAAATTTCCTCTATTCTGTATGGTTTTCTGTGTGGCCCCTCCTCCCCACTACAGCCCTCCTTAAATACACTTAAAAATAACGATGAAAAAGAAAAAGAGGCAAGAGAAGAGAGAAAAAGAGGGAGGAGAAGAATGAGAGGGGACACACGTATGAAGGAAAAAATCAAAGGAGAGGAAAAAAACTGTTTTTTTAAATCTTAAAATCAATTAAAAAAACCAAATATTTTCAAATAAAATCTAATTTTAAAACTTAATTTGATTTAGTTAAAACTTTACATTAAATTTTATAATAAAGTAAATTATATTATTTTAAACTAAATCAATAAGCATAATAAAATAATAAATAAATCAGTAATAWTTTTTTTTTTAAAACGAAAGCGAGTTGGACCAAATACGGTGTCTACAATATCATTAGCACATTTTAAGGGATTTGACCTCCCAATTTACCAATTTTAAATTTTAATAATTATTTAATATTAAGATGGATCCTAAAGATATACTAGTAATTTGTATTATGGGTACTATCTAATTAGGGATTTTTCATGACAAAAGTGTAAATTTTATACTTTTCCATCCTTTTACGTAATTATGATTTCTAAATAGACCATTTATGTACTAATCCCTTGAATTTAGGCTACAATCTCGATTTGCAATACGGTCAAATTGATAATTGCATTTTATAAATTTGTAAAATTTGGAATATGTCCAAATTTAAAATCCTACAAAGATTTCAATTTTTGACCTGAATAAGAGTAAACTTTGAATTTGAATTTTACTCTAATCTTGATTTGGAATACAGACAAAATGGTATTCGAATTTTGTAAAGTTGTAAAGTTTCCAATATGTCCAATTCGAAATTTCTACCAATATTACGAATTTTTACGTGAATATGATTAAAGTTTGAATATAAAGTTTTACTCCAATCTCAATTTGGGATACGGCCAAATTGGTATTCGAATTTGGTAAAATTGTAAAATTTGGATTATGCCAGAATCGAAAATTCTACCAAGATTATAAATTTTGACTGTAACAAGAGTAAACTTTGAATTTGAATTTTTACTCCAATTGAATGTGGAATGTAGACACCGTATGTGGTCCAGCTTGTTTTTATTAAAAAAAAAAAAGAAAAAAAATATTATTTTTTATTTTATTAAGTATTATTTAATTGCTTGGTTAAAAATAACATAAGGTTTTAACGTAATTTTTTTGTTAAAAAAAATAATAACATTCGTCTTAAGGTAAAGATTCAATTAAATTTTAACAAAAATAATTTTTGTTTAAAAAGAATTTGATATTATTATTATTTAAATGAGGATTTTATTTTAATTTTAAAAAACGGTTTTTCGTTTGTTTTGATTTTTTCTTCGTAAAAATCCTCCCAGGTGTTACACTCCCCCTTTTCTTCTTCCTTCTTTTTTCTCCCTTCTCTTCCAACTCCTCCATCTTACGGTTATGTTGAGTGGTATTTAAGAGAAGACAGCAAACACATCATGGACACAACCCATAAAGAAGAGAGACAAAAAAAAATCTCATTCACTCCCTTCTTTCTCACCACCATGATCATCTTCTCATTCTTCCTTCACCATCTCCTCCTTTATTATTATTATCTTTTTAACACCATCATCTTCTCTTCTTCTTCACCCACACCGGCAACCCCACGGCATCGGTAGGAAGTCCCAACGATCTCCAGCAGCACACATCCCTCGATGACCACAAGCTTCGACAACCCACATCACAGTAGTCCGGCGCAAAGCACTACAATCTCAACGGATAGCAATAATACAACGAATCGGGCTATCCACCTACAATAGCATGAAATTTTGACAACCTCTACAACCGATGCACAGATCTCCGGTGACTCGACTCCCACCAACACAGTAGCTTAAGTGCTCCTTCACAGCTTCAGACTCGCGGGCACACCAAAGAATTCCTCTCTGCAGTACGTGATTTAAAAAAATGCTTTTGGAAATGATTGATTTTTTTTAAAATAAGGAAATTTTATTTTGGAAAGTACATTTTTTTAAAATAAATTTGTTTTAAATATGATTTTTTTTAAATAAGTTTGTTTTATATGAATTTCAAATCTAAAACAAAATAATAGTTTTTTATTTTAAATTTTCGAGTTTTTGTTTTTGTTTTTTCTTTTTTAAACAAAGTTGAAAAATAAAATATTTATATTTTGAAAAGGAAATTTAGATTATTTCTTTATGTGTTGGCATAGTGGCAGTGAACTTGGATGTGAACATCCACAATACAAGTTCAAGGCCTTTTATATATTTATTATTATTATTATTTTTAATATCATTTCTTCTAAGAATTATTTCGAAAACTCCAATGACGGAAATTGGAACCTCCCAATATTCTCGAGGTGATAAAATTCTTCTAATGACCTTCATGCCACTCATACCTATTAATTAATATTTTATAACAAGGTGTGAATTAATATAACGTGAGACATTTAAATAAAAATACACAAATGTATTTTCTTTTGGACAAAATAAAATAATAGGATAATTTTTTACGAAATGTGGTACCGTTTTCGAACGAGTGTCGAAGGGTGCTAACACCTTCCCTACACTCAATCACACCTCAGTAGATGATTGGTGGCGACTCCAAACCCTTATCTCGAAAGAGACCCTTCACGGGATGACGTGGACGACATGTAATATGGCCAAATTGAGATTCGAATTTGATAAATTTGTAAAATTTTGAATATGCCCGAATTTTGTAAAATTGTAAAATTTGGAATATGCCCGAATCGAAAATTCTACCAAGATTTCAAATTTTGACCAGAATAAGAGTAAACTTTGAATTTTAATTTTTGTTTCAATCTTGATTTAAAATACAACCAAATTCATATTTGAATTTTATAATTTTGTAAAATTTTGAATGTTGCAACATCGTTGCGATGCAGAGCGGCTGTCGTCATTCCCTGAGGGTCTCTTTCGAGATAAAGGTTTGGAGTCGCCATCAATTATCTACGAGGTGTGATTGGTCACCTATTTTAAAAACTTAGTCTGCAAAAACAGATTTTTTGTTCGAGAGTCGACTGAGGCAACAAATGTTAATACCCAAGTGCATTGTTAATGTGCCAATACCTTGGGATACAAGATACGTTTCTTTTTTAAAATACAAACTTTTTATTTTTGAATTTTGTTTAAAAAACAAATATTTTTTTTATTTAAAAGGAAAAACATATTTTATTTAAAATAATTATTTAATAAAAACAATGATAAAAAAATAAAATAAAATACTTTTATTTCAAGGCAAGCCGAGACTCAAACTTGAGTTATGTAAATTTACCCCCTAGCATCTTACCACTATGCCAACACCATAAGATGCAAATATTGTATTCTTTTAAAAAACAAAACTTTTAATTTATTTTTTTTTAACTAAAAAACTTACAAATTTTTTCAATTAAAAAAAACTTTTTATTTATTTCGAAATTAAAGGGATTCTTTAAAAGAAAGATTTTTATTTCAAATTTAACAAAATAAATCAAATTTACTTAAAACAAATTTATTTGCTCAGATTCTTTCCAAAAACTATAATTAATAAACTTATTTAAAAAGATTTTATTTCTTTATTTATAAAATAAGTTTAAAAAAATGGTAGATTTAAAAAGCTCTCAAAAATTGCACCTTTAAAAAAATAAAAAAATAAAAAACAAAATTCTTCTTCTTCTAATTTAAAACAAATTTTTATTTATTTTGCCATAATAAAAAAAAGAAATAAAACACATTTTGACTTTTAAAACAAAATTATTTTAAAAAATCTTTTACTCTTTTTTTTTAAAAAGAAATTTATTTAGAAAAACTATTTTTGAAGCAAAATCTTTTATTTTTTGAAAAACAACTTTTTAAATTACTTTAAAAGGAAAAGAAAAAACTCTTTATTTTAAAGATTTTATCGCAAAATCTTTATTTATATGCAAAAATTTAATTATATATTTTGTTTAAAAAAACAAAAGAAAAGATAATAGTGAGTACTTTTTATACCGCTTTGTCTTTGTTGTGTTCTTCCCGAATTTGTCACTGTCGCCGTCAGGTATTGCCGATTCGAGGTTTGTCAGATTGGTGCCAAACTTTGTTAAGAGAAATTAGAAGAAAAAAGAGACTTTGTTAGAGTGGGAATATGGTAGGAGGTGGATGAAGATGGTGAGTTTTAAAGAGAGAAGGAAATGAAAAAGGAAAAGAAAAGTGGGTTTTGAGTAGTGAAGAAGAAGAGGGGAAAAAATTAGATTTTTTAAATCTCACTTCTCCACAACTTTCTTCTAGCTCTCCCTCTATGCTTGCTCTCTGTATCCTGTTCTCTGCAACCTCCCTCTTTCTTAAATACGTAAAATGGTAACGGTAATATTTGGGAAGGTCAAATAAAGTTAAAGAAAAAGGAGGAGTAAAATAAGGAAGAAGAATAGAAGTTTGACGGGAAAAAATCAAGTTTGTTTAAAAACAAAATCTTTTTTAGTTAAAAAAAATCTTTTATTTAAAACAAATTTCTTAAAATAAAATAATAGATCCAATTATTTTAAAACAAAATCTAAACAAAATAATTTTTAATTTCTTATTAATAAAATCAAAACATTTAAATAAATCTAACATTTTTTAATCTATGTTAATTTAAACTTTATCTTAAAACTAACAATAAAGTAAACTTATGATATTTTTAACCAAAACAGTAAAATTTAATAAAATAAAAATAATAAATAAATAAAAACAATAATAAAATTTGAGCCGGACCAAATACGGTGTCTACATTGAATATATCCAAATTGAAAATTCTACAAAGATTTCAAATTTTTTCTTGAAAAAGAGTAAACTTAGACTTAATTTTTAGTCCAATATGGATTTAGAGTACAACGAAATTGAGCTTCAGATTTGCTAAATTTGTAAAATTACGAATATGCCCCAATCAAAAATTCTACCAAGATTTCAAATTTTGACTTGTATAGGAGTAAAGTTTGTGATGGAAAATATACATGCATGCCCAGAGGAAGCGAGCATCGATCAAAATAACAACCGAAATGTATATTACAACCTAGGATTAAACATGCATGATCATACAATATGATGCTTAGAGAAAGGGAGAGAAAAATTACAAATCTTTGTAGCTTTTCAAATTTCTTCAAATAACTCCAATAAGGACCACCAAGAGGTTTTCCTAACTATTCTCAAGGCTTGGAATAGAGTAGTGGAACTCTTTTTAGAGAAGGAAAATTTGAGAGAAATATGGAGCTAAAAAGAGTTATGTAAGCTTTTTCAAAACCATCAAATGGCCAAAGGTTTCAAGAAGTTTTATGTTTGAACAAAAGCCTTCTTAAATAGGTAAATTACATGCAACTCTTGCATGTCTAACTTCACCAAAAGCTTACAACACATACTCTACTCATGCATGGCATGAGTAAGTATCAAAGTGCATGTGATAAGAAAACAATAGCCAATTGGATCTAAGAACCCTTATGGTTATGCAAACCCCTAGATCACAAATGCTAAAACCCCCAAATCGAGATGATGTCAACCCAAGGAAGAAGTTAGAACGGATTTACCTTGATGATTAATATCAAGGGTAGAGAAAAATTGTTTCTAAACTCAAGATTCGAACCACTCCACAAGATAGCTTGATCAAGGCTACTTGAATGATTCTAGCATGCAAATCTAACACCCAAGAATTGCAAAGAAAAACAAGCTCTAGGCTTTTGAAGCAAAATAGCAACTTTCATTCAATCATAAAATGTCCATTTCAAGGAAAACAAACTAGGCTATTTATAGCCTCCAAAACAACCCTAAAAGTAACCTAAATGTATTTGAAAGGTTGTAACTCCCAATTACAAGATGGTCATAACATCCACTAGCTAAAATGTAACTTAAAACACATAAATGAAATGTTTAAAACTGAAAATATAATAAAAACAGGTTTAAATCCGAGAATTGATGTCTTGGTCACCCTTCAAAGTCTTTGTAACCTCCCAATTGTAAATGAAGCTTCACTTGAAGTAGTTTGAAGTGTAGTTTCATTAATTGATGGATGACTTGCAATAAATGAAGCTTGAGATGCACTTAAGTTCATTTAATGCAGCTTGAGTTCCTTGAATTGAACTTGGTTTTATTGAATGCAACTTGAGTTAAACTCCACCTCAACTTCAGCTCCTTTAAATGAACTTAGAGTTCATTTAATGCAACACCTCCCTTAAGCTCTACTTGGAAGATATTGACTTGAAAAGTTCCATCTTTCTCTTGATCATCCCTAGCCGAGCTCACCAAGTATTGAACATGGGAAAGTAAAGCTTGTTGTAGCTTCTTGGCTCTTGATCTCGTTATGGGTCCTTGAGGCATGACAATGGTGCTTCCTTGGTTCACATCAGCATGTCTAACTTCACCAAGAGCTTACAACACACACTCCACTCATGCATGCCATGGTTAAGTGTCTAAAAGTAGATTTTTTAGATTATTTGAATGTTCCACTCAACAAGTTAGTGGAATTTTCCACCTACTTGGTTAAAAACATTATTTTAATCTACTTAGTCAACCTTTGACTTTCTCGGGTCAAAGTCAACTATTTGACTTTTTCGGAAATTCGACTGTTTGAAGAAAACCATGCCTCCGATTATGAATTCGCATTCATAATTTTAATTTTTAAATCCTATTTAAATCTTTTGACCAAATTTCTCAATCGATATCATATATAAATTACTTAATCATATCTCATATGATTAACCTAATTCGTACAATTGGAATTATTCCTTCAAATTATTCCAAGTTTATTCCTATATGAGCTAGCCAGGGGACCTTATGGACCTACAGATCATGAACTCCAACAATCCGAGATTAATCGGTTAAACTCTTTAACCTAGTTAACCAACATTCGTTAACTACCGGGTCACTCCACTAAAGCCCGTAGCTGCACTCTACTCACTGTAGATATATTATGTCCATTTGATATAACCATGATAAGTAAGTCGACCCTTCACAGGTTGTTCGTAATTACAACTGGATGAAAATACCGTTTTACCCCTGTAATGACCTCTTGTTCCTTAAATCAATGATCCTCTAATGAACAATGATTTGTAGTTCAACTATCAAATCAAAAAAATCATCTCAAACCTTTTGATGAGGGTGACGCCAATTGTTCAAGACCTGGATTCAGCCTTAAGAGAACAACCTTTCTACTATCCCAAAATTGGGTAAGAGTGAATTCCTTCTTGGACCCTATGTCCCTAGCTATGTACCTGGTCTTATCCCTGAAATGAAAGGCTTATTGAGCCAGCACCGTTGAGCTGCTCTCACCCATGCAGATCTAAGGATAATCTCGAGTAAACAGAAATTCATAGTTAGCTCAGGATTAAGATCGAGTTACCTAGGCCATCAAAATCGAGATAGTCAGTTTTAGACAGTAAACGGTGTTATAAAGTAAAAGTGACTTTGTCATGGTCAGGTTTTATGCAAACTCTTTGCACGAGATGCCCCCACTCGCATGTCTTCACATGAACGAATTAGGATCATATCGTTTGTACTAGCTACAAAGTGGGCCGCATCCATAGTGTCCCCAGAATAAGGCGCCCAACCTTATTCCTGTACTATAGACCATTTAAACTGTTAACTCAAACTTGATCGATATTTATGTCTCTACATAAAGTTTGAGTCTCATGTAACAGTCTAGGATCCTTAGTTTACTGGATTTAGATCTAGTAAAAACGTTTTATTGGATCAATAAGTACTTATTGATTATAACCTTCAATAACAACTTTTTTGAATGAAAAAAAATATATCTGGCATTTACAAACTGTGAGTTTTAGGACATAAAACCCAATAGTTTGAATATGAATTTTTACTCTAATCTCAATTTTGAATGCGGTCAAATTGAGATTCGAATTTTGTATAATTGTAAAATTTGAAATATGCCCAAATCGAAAATTCTACGAAGATTTCAAATTTTGATCGCAATAAGATCGCAATAAGAGTAAATTTTGAATTTGAATTTTTACTACAATCTAGTAAACTTTGAATTCGAATTTTTACTACAATCTAGTAAACTTTGAATTTGAATTTTTACTACAATCTCGATTTGGAATACGATCAAATTGATATTCGAATTTGATAAATTTATAAAATTTGGAATATTCCCAAATTGAATGATGGAAAAAATACATACATGCGCAGCGGAAGTGAGCAAGAATCGAAATAACAATCTAGATGCATAATACAACCTAGGATTAAACATACATGATCATACATTATGATGCTTAGAGATAAGTAGAGAAAAATACAAACCTTTGTAGCTTTTCAAAAATCTTCAAATAGCTCCAATGAAGGACCACCAAGAGATCTTCCTAGCTATTCTCAAGGCTTGGAATAGAGTGGTGGGACTCTTTTTAGAGAAGGAAAAAATTAGAGAAAAGTGGAGCTAAAAGGAGTTATGTAAGCTTTTTGAAAACACATCAAATGACCAAAGGTTCCAAGAGCTTTTGATGTTTGAACAAAAGCCTTCTTAAATAGGCAAATTACATGCAACTCTTGCATGTCAAAGTTCACCAAAAGCTTACAATACATATTCCACTCATGCATGACATGACTAAGTGTCAAAATGCATGTCTAAGTTCACTAAAAGCTTACAACACACATTCCACTCATGCATGGCATGGCTAAGTGTCAAAATGCATGTTTAAGTTCACAAAAAACTTACAACACACATTCCACTTATGCATGCATGGCTAAGTGTCAAAAAGAGGATTTTTGAGATTATTTAAATGTTCCACTCAACAAGTTAGTGGAATTTTCCACCAACTTGGT